TCAAGCCCTGCCTATTCTGAATTTTAGTATGGTCACCATGGTTAAATCTGCTGTATTGACAAGCTCATGTAAACGTGTCCCAGTGTGGGACTCTAAATTCCTCAAGGGCTATCTCTTTCATCTTTGCATCTTCAGAGTAGATTCTCAATATTTATTAAAAGAAACTGTGGATGTATTGATGAATGGGTAAATGAATAAAGGATAACTTACTAAAGGAGAAAATAGTAGGCCCCAGAAAAAAAGTGAATGCATAGCAATGCCAAAGTGCTTGGCCATTTATCAAAGGGCTTAATTAGTCTTCAATTACCTAACTATTATTAGCAATATCTAAATTCTGGATTTTGACTTACCAGATAATTAAAATATGACATAAGATGTTAATAATATGCAAGTTACAACTTTTGCTTGAATATAAGTCTGGTCTTTTCTTCTAAAGAAAAAGTCCGATAGCTTATGTTTTCACTGTGCAATTCACAGTTTCTACACAAAGGCAGCAGGACGCCAAGCTGCACATAAGAGAAATCATGGTGTGTCATTGGAAAACTAGTCATAATTGAACTCTGACAGAATCACTTAGCACAAATACTTCAAGGTAACTGTGTGGATGCATTTGCTGAATCATTTAAAAATAATAAAATTTTACAAATCAGCTCTTTAATGTAATAAAAAATACTTCAAAATATTGTAGGGATTCCCAGAAATTGAATCAAGTACTTTTTAGATATGGACATCTCAAGGCCTCTAAATTAAGAGAGTACATGACAAAAAATTAAACTTGGAGTTATGAAGGAATCCTACAATTCTACAGATGTCTTCAACTATTTCAACCAGAGATTAGAGCAGTGTGCACACAAAGTCAGGGCCCATTAAATGTCTGTGGACACAAGGGAGGGAGAAACAATGAGGAAATCTCAGTTAACTAAAATAACTGAGATACAATAAGTTATTCGAGAATATAATAGTTATCAGTGCTGACCAGACTCATCTGGGTCTCTATGCCTTCCAGACACAAGAAAGAAACTGTACATTCTGGTGCTTTTTTTGGTAATTTTGAACCACGGGATCAGATCTGGTCAATGAGTTGGGAGAGGAAGTGAAGTGAGTCCCTCAGGGAGCATTTATTACTGGGATGAGGGCCCCCAGAGTGCCATGGTGAAAGGCAGTATTTGAAATGGTAGGTGCTTCAACAGCCTGGATACAGAATGAGAGGTTGAACAGAATTCCCAGTACCTTCCACAGTGAACCTATAGTCTGAGTGAGAAATAAATTCATATTATAAAGTCACTAAAACTTGAAGGTTATTTGCTATCACACAGCATAACTTATCCTTCCTCACACATTCAGGCACTTTCCTCCCTTTAATGCCAGGTCCTCTGTATTGTTCATTGCATTTGATTCTATCCTCACAGTAATTACATTTTTAGAGTACAGTGATCGTATAAATATTTGGAGTTGGTCTTCACTATATAAAGCTGTTGGAGAAACCATGACAAAGCCTTACATTTATTCATTGATATACCACGGTCTGGAAAGGAAGTTCTAGAAACAAAGAGGCTATTTCCCAAAACGTTGTGTGTGGGGTTTTTTTTTTGGTGGTTGTTCATATTTGGACCCTCCTAAGAAAAGTATCCAGAAAGTTACTCATTAAAGAAAAATTGAGAAAAGTCTTTATTCAAAGCAGTTTAAACATATACAGTAAATGTGAATACTTGTAAAATTGTTCTAGATACATTCTGATTTCTTCTAATAAATTTAATAAAAGGCCAGTTTCTTCTAAGCCGTTATCTGGAATTCAGAAAATGCATACATCCTGCCATTTCCCTTTCAGACTGAATATCCCAAGGTATACAAAAACACTAGAATTGTGGTCTGTCTAACCTATTGGGATGTATTTTTGGTCATTCCGCAACCCTCAGCTTCTTAATAAATAGAGCCATAATCTATGGGTAGAATTAAATCCCCATGAACTAACTGTATGAGGTACCCTGGTACTTTCTGAATATGAATATCCTCTTTTGTGACAAAGTTCACTTTTAAAATAAGATTTTCTTATTTCTCAATAAAGACATTAATATCATTCATCAGTGTACCAAGAAATTTGACCAAATTTTAAGTCCAGAATAAGTACTAAACTTTTTTTCTTCTTTGTATCCGTCACCAGAGGGTCTCAGTCAACTCTAACAGCAAGCACAGGTTGTCTTAAATGTGTTAACTTCATTACACATGATAATGCAGAAAAAATTAAAAATTAATTTAAATCTATTACATCTTCCCAAAGCATGTAGGTTTCAAATTAGACAACTAGGGTCCAAATATAAATCCGATCTCTGCCACTTACTATCTATGTTTTTGGGCAAGTGCTAATCTTCTCAGTGCTTTATTTTCCCATTTTTCAAACTGTGATCAATAACACTAACACCTGGCTCATAGATTTGTGAGAGCTGAATGTGATAATACATGAGAAGCATTATAAATAGTCTCTTGGTCCAAATTAGCCAAATTTAGCCTTAAAAATACATGCTACTATTGTTATTGCTCTAAAAGAAAAAAACTAAATGAACTGTGTGCCTTTTCTTTTTTGACTAATGATTATAAGTTTATATTTTTATTTTTTAGAGATTTTTATTGTTATTCTATTATAGTTTCCCAATTTTTTCCCTTTGCCCTCCTCTGCCACTTGAATTATTTTGGAAAAGGAACATAAAAAATGTGTGTCACTTTTCACACAAAAAGCTGTAGTTTCCTAAATATGTAAGTCACTTGTTTCACATATAGCTAAAACTACCTAAAGAAAACCAGCATTTCTTCCTTGGATTCCTGAGTTAAAGAATATATTTTATGCATTTTAATTTAACTATTAAACTGTAAATTATTTAAAGCATGAGATATTAGTTGCAAAATCCAAAGGAAAACAGTAAAGTCATAATTTCTATAGGTTTCATGTAAAAATTGAAGTTTTTCAGCATTTATTCAACAAGTTTTACTGTAAATTCAGTAAAAAATGTACAATATTTTAATCAAGTTTCTGTTGCAACCTTCATAGTAGCAGTTTTCAACCAGTGTGCTTCAAGAACTTTTAAAATATGTGATACCTGACTGTTTAGTCAGGGGTACTGACTCCTTTTCCCTTAGACTGTCCAATAAAAAAATGACAATGGCCAATATAATAGCTGTCCATTGTGGGTCAATCAAAAATATGTCTCTTTTTGTCATATCGGCACAAAGTATATTTCCTCAGTACGCCACAGAATTTTGGTGTGTGTGTGCCAGGACACTGCTGAAAGCGGCTGCTTTGTAGCTCTTCCCTCACCATGGCAGTGGTGCGGTCCTGCCATCTAGTGAAATTTCAACACCACTGCAGGGACATTTGTGAAAACGAATAAAAAGCCTCAAATTAAAGAACAAAGTTCTATTTTTGTGCTCTTACATTTTAAATTTTAAATTATGAAACTGTTATCTCAGAGGAAAAGTAATGTTTTGGTATTACAAGGGCAATTATTTAAATGTAGTACAAAATGAGATATAAAGAATACATAAAAGGCCCAACTTTGGGCAAGTATAATAGTGCACAATTATCAATATAAATACCACTCTACAAAAGAATAATAAAAATTTTGTAAAGAGAAATATTTTATAATAACTCATTAGCCATAATGTTTAATGCTGCATCAATTGGAAATCTTTCTGAATATGTTCTTAAACTTAGACAAAAGATATCAATTGCCACAGGAAAATTTTCAAAGCACAAAAGAACCCAAAAAAAAGATGAAAATCATATAATATCTTTTTATATATACCCATATAAATACACACACAGTCATTTTTTAGTATAATAGAAACAAGGAAGTCATTATTATTTGTTGTTTTATAGTTCTGATTTGCTCAGGGTTAAAATCTGGCCAAGCCTGACCCAATGGGTAGAACTTCTAACATCAGGTACAATGGTTTTGCTCTCTCTCAGTGATGCCTCAGTAACTTAAGGCTTCTTCACAACACAAGTATCTGAACTAGGTAAGCTGCTTTTGTATGAAACAATGATCTAAAACACATAGAGATGTCATAAATTAGGTAGTATTGTACACTTTTCACATATAAGCATAAACAGGCAGGAAAGTAGGTAGGTAGGAAGGCAGGTAGGTAGATAATTTGAAAGAAACACTGTTAAATATCAGGGGCCAAAGACACTGATGAAAAAGAGCACATTTGTGAGAAAGTGACTGAAGTGAATGAACTACAAAGGGCAAGCCCATCCCAATATTGGAGACCTGAAGCCTCCTGGACCCCTTGGGCTGCAGTCCCCTGGTCATCTCGTCCCATCTCAAGTAATGAGGAAGCTTCATGCACATGCCTCTAAGACACCCAGTCCTCAGGTTCAAACCAGGACCCGTGCCTCTTACACACCCTGCCTCCACCCTCATCAGCAGGCTCCCACATTCTGGAGCAAGAATTTGGAACTTCTGATCCCTAGAATATGTGAAAGCTTTATTTTGCCTTGATCCTCAGGCTCCTCACTTTGTGTAGAGGGGCAACTACAAAAGGACAGCTGGGAATCCACTAAAGAGTCTAAAGGTGGTACTGGCATGTGTATGGTTTACAAAAGGACATATTTCATAATGGCTATGGGGTGAAGAGACAGTGGGACATGATGGTGTCAGAGGGCCTCCTCGTGACCAGCATTTTTCTTAGCTTGCACATCCCAGGGTTATGTTGTAGAAGGGAGAATACTGAACTTTCCATGGAAGCAAAGAAGACAGGAATTAAGGGTAGCTATCAAGATGTACTCCAGTCATGAGGGTCTTAAGTGAAAACTTAGCATCTCTGACTGGTGACATCAAATATGGAGATCAATTTTCCCTTCAAATATAAGGAGTCTGTATTTGAAGATAAAATATAAGGCAAATACAGGGTCTATTCTTCAGTCAGCTTTCATGTTGCACACAGGAGCATGCCAGATAGAGACAGAATTATTTTATCATGTGCAGACATATGTATTTACTCACCATGCTGTTCATTTTTGAAGATGACGAACTTGCTCTTTGCTTTCTTAGACTATTAACTTCTTCTGAATTTCCATCTTTTGTTTTCAAAACCATTCTGCTACTCCCTGCAGTTCCTTCTGATGAGGACCGCAGTCGTCTCTCTATAAATCTTCCTTCACGATATGGACTGAGGCTACTGGCAAGAACTATTAAAAAACAGAAAAAAATTAACATAAATGTTTAAATGTGCTTTTCATAAATGTTCCACTGAAAGCATATGGGAAACCCTTAATGTCATTAAAAAATTCTCTATCACTATATATTTTTTAATCAATAGTGTTAGTTGAGTTTACTTAATCATGTAACCACTTTAGAGCTAAATGTTTGGAATCACCCAAGGTTTCTCTGTACCTCACAGAAATCACATAGGCAAAATTCTGCACTTATTATCCTCAAGTTGTATATAGAATCTGATCACTTTTTAAAAAAATATGCTTATTGGGGTGACATTGGTTAATATAATGGTTTCAAGTATACAGTTCTGACACATCATCTGTATACAGCATTCTGTACCTACCACCTAAAGTCAAATCTCCTTCTGTCTTCATATATCTGATCACCTTTACCTCTTTAGTACCTACCACCCCATTCCGTCTGTTCTCTGTGTTTCTGAGTTTTTGTTTGTTCACTAGTTTTTGTTTGCTTTAGTATTATATCCCACATATGAGATAAAGCATATGGGTTTTGACCTTTTCTGTCTGACTTATTTCATTTAGTATGATACTGTGAAAATCCATACATGTTGTCACAAAAGGCAGTATTTTACCTTCTCTTATGCATGAGTAGAAATCCACTATATATATGTTCCACATATTTTTTATCCAATCATGATTTACTTTTTTTATAATTTTTATTGTTGTTCAAGTACAGTTGTCTCTATTTTCCCACCACCACTTTCCCCTGCCCCACACCCCACCTCCCACCCTTAGTCCTTCCCCCCTTTGGCTTTGTCCATGTGTCCTTTACACATGTGTTTCTGACAACCTTTCCCTTCCTTTTCCCCATCATACTTCCCCTCCTTCCCCCCTCTGATTACTGTCAGTTGTTCCTTATTTCCAAGTCTCTGATTATATTTTACTAGCTGGTTTATTGTGTTGATTAGGTTCCATTTATAAGTGAGATCATATGGTATTTGTCTTTCACCTCCTGGCATAATGCTCTTACTTAGCATAATGCTCTCCAGTTCCATCCATGCTGTAGTGAAGGGTAAGAGCTCTTTCTTTTTTTCTGCTGTGCAGTATTTTATTGTGTAAATGTACCACAGGTTTTTGATTCATTCATTTACTGATGGGCACGAGGTTGCTTCTAGCACTTGGCTATTGTGAATTGTGCTGCTATGAACATTGGGGTGCACAGGTTCTTTTCATTTGGTGTATCAGGGTTTTTAGGGTATAACCCACTAGTAGAATTGCCAGGTCAAAAGGCAGCTACAGTTTTAGTTTTCTGAGGAAATTCCATACTGTTTTCCTCAGTGGCTGTACCAGTCTGCATTCCCATCAACAGTGCACTAGGGTTCCCTTTTATCCATAACCTTGCCAGCACTTGTTGTTTGTTGATTTGGTTATGATGGCCATTCTGACCAGTGTGAAGTGATAGCTCAGTGAGGTTTGAATATGCATCTCTCTGATGCCTAGTGATTCTGAGCATCCTTTCATATGTTTCTGGGCCCTTGTAGCTCCTCATTGGAGAAGTGTCTGTTCAGGTCCTTTGCCCATCTTTTATTTGGATTGTTTGTCTTCCTGAAGTGCAGTTGAGTTCTGTATATATTTTTGAGATCAAACCCATGTCCAGGGTATCACTGGCAAATATATTTTCCCATACAGTTGGTTCTCTTTTCATTTTGCTGATGTTTTCTTTAACTGTGCAGAAGCTTTTTTTTATTTCAATCAAGCTCCATTTGTTTATTCTTTCCTTTATGTCTTTTGCTCTAGGGGGACATAAAGGTGAAAATATTGCTTCATGGAATATCTGAAATTTTCATGCCTATGTTGTCCTCTAGGACTTTTATGGTACCCTGACTTACATTTAAATATTTTGTGCATCTTGAGTTTATTTTTGTGTATGTTGTAAGTTGGTGGTCAAGTTTCACTTTTCTGCATGTAGCTGTCCAGATCTCCCAACACCATCTTGAAGAATAGCTTGATGCAGCTATTTTTACTCCATTTTATGCTTCTGTTCCCTTTGTTGATTATTAATTGACCATAGAGACTTGGTTTTATTTCTTTCTATTCTGTTCCATTGATCTAGGTGCCTGTCCTTATGTCAGTACCAGACTGTTTTGATTACAGTGGCCTTGTAATATAGTTTGATATCAGGTATTGTGATCCCTCCCTACTTTGTTCTTCTTTCTCAAAACTGCTGAGGCTTTTCAGGGTCATTTATGGTTCCATAAAAATTTCTGAAATGTTTGTTCTAGATCTGTGAAATATGCCATTGGTATTTTAATAGGGATTGCATTGAATCTGTAAATTGTTTTGGGCACTATGGACATTTTGATGATGTTCACTCTTCCAATCCATGAACACAGTATATGGTTCAATTTACTTGTGTCTTCCTTCATTTCTTTCTTCAGAGTTGTATAGTTTTCTGAGTACAGGTCTTATTACCTCCCTCATTAATATCCTTGACTCAACTTCATCAATGCTAGCCTAGATTACCGCAATACTTCCAATAATCTCCTGTGGGTGCCTACACCCACCTGTTTCCCCCCACCAACACACAATCTACTTTTGACAGTATCCAGAATGGTACACTTAAAATACAAGTGAGACTGATCACGCTCACTCCTCTAGTCATAAAGCTGATGTTTTCCCAATGGTCAATCCAGTTCCTCATAACATGACCCTGCTCTCCACCTTCCACTGGGGCCTACGCATCATTTATGTCACACCTCTGATTTCAACTTCTGCTGCTGCTCCTCCTCATCCTTCCCTATGTTACGCCACACTGGACCTCTTGCCCCCACCCCTAGAAAATTTCAGGCATGCTCCAACTATTGGTCTTCATACAGATAAACATCTCTCACATATTTATATATCTTACTCTCTAATCACCTTCAAGTTTTTGTCAATATGTTACCTTCAGTAATATCCTGCTCATACTTAAAAATGCAAATTACAATGAACTAACAAAATTAAAATTAAGAAAGTGATTTCATTTATAGTAGCATCAAAAACAATAAAATGCCTAGTAATAAATATATTCAGGTATGAGATGTCTACACTGAAAAAATGTCTACATTGATGAAAGGAATTGAAAAAAACACAAATTAATTGACAGATAGTCTGTGTTTATGTATTGGAAGAATAATATTGTTAAAATATCCATACTACCCAAAGTGATTTACAGATTCAATGCAATCCTTATCAATATTATAATGACATTTTTCACAGAAATAGAAACAAACTCTAAACTTTGTACAGAACCACAAAAAACCCCAAATGGCCAAAGTGATCTTGACAAAGAAGGGCAAAGCCAGAGGGATCACACTCCCTGATTTGAAACTGTGTTACAAATCCACAGAAATCAAAGCAGTATATTATTGACATAAAACAGATACTCATATCAATAAAATAGAATAAAGATCTCAGAAACAAACCCACGTATGTGGGCAATTAATTTTTGACAAAGAAGCCAAGAATATACAATGGGGAAAGAACAGTCTCTTCAATAAATGGTACGGGGAAAACTAGATAGCAAAATTATGAACATTGACCCCTATGTTATACCACAAACAAAAATCAAGTCAAATTGTGTTAAAGAGTTAAATGTAAGAGCTTAAACTGTAACACTTTTAGAATAAAACATAGACAGTAAGATTTTTGACACAGGTCTTGGCAGTGACATTTTTGGATTTGACACCAAAAGTAAAAAAAACAAAAGCAAAAATAAATGGGACTATTTCAAACTAAAAGATTTCTGCTCAGCAAAACAAAGAATCAACAAAATTAAATGGCATCCTAAGGAATAGGAGAAAATATTACAACCTATAAGCAGTTACTATCCAAATATACAAGGAACACAACAAACTCAATAGCAAAACCAAACCAAAAACAAGACAATAACAACGACCCTCAAATACAAATAAAAAACCTAACAGACATTTTCTGAAGAAAAGTTACAAATGGCCAAGAGGTACATTAAATGGTATTCAACATCACTAATCACCAGGGAAACTCAGATCAAAATCACTATGAGATATTACCTCACACCTGTTAGACAGCTATTATCAAAGAGTCAAAAGACAGTACGTCAAAAATGTGGAGAAAAGGGAACACACTGTGTTCCCTTTACCAATAAAAATTGGTAAAGCCAGTGTGAAAAAAGGTATGGAGTTTATTCAAGAAATTAAAAATAGACCCTGGCTGGTGCAGCTCAGTGGATTGAGCGCGGGCCTGTGAGCCAAACAATGGCGGTTCGATTCCCAGTCAGGGCACATGCCTGGGTTGCAGGCCAGTTCCCAGTGGAGATGCACAAGAGGCAACCACACATTGACATTTCTCTCTTTCTCTCCTTCCCTTCCCCTCTAAAGATAAATTAAGAATCTTTTAAAAAACATTAAAACAAGAAATAAATTAAAAATAGGACTACTATATGATCTGGGAATTCCATATTGGGGTTTGTGCAAAGGAAAGAAAATCATTAATTACACTGCCATGTTTATAAAACATTTGCACAATAGCCAACTGTTGCAGACTGCTCTGCCTGGTTTTAGGAATTATACCTCAACCCCTTGTGGCTAAGGGCAGAGGATGACCTTTGAAATGCCAACCACAGGAGACAAAGCTTGTCTCTGGTAGCAAACACTGCCTCAGTTTCCTCTCCCTGCCCCCAAAGCATGGTCGGAAGTCAATGACAGGTAAGACCCCTCACAGCCAGGGGCAACCTAAGCCAGACTCATCACTTAGGAGGCCTTCATGGAAGGACTCAGGGGCTGCAACAAAGAAAGAGCAATGGACTCTCCACCCCCCCCACCCCGGCTTTGACAAAGCCTGAGTCCCCATGTTCTCTGGGAAAAGCGCTTCCTGGCTCTAATCCCCTTAAGCCTGAATACCTATTGGGGAGAGGTGTACCTCCTTGCCTTCCTAGAACGTGTCGTGGGGGAAAATCTGGTACCACAAAGACTTGCTGATAAACCTGTGAAATCTGCTCTGCTAAGAGTGCTTTCATTCATATGTTAAGGGTTCGAGCAGGAAACCCTAAAATTCTGTTCCTGACAGACTCTGGCTCAGACTAAGTCCTCAGATTTCTTTGAAATGTTATCTACTGTTTGATCCTTGGTGCCCTGTATTCCTGTGTATTACAGCCCAATAAAAGGCCCTGGAAGAAGGGGCTCAAGGCCTTTTTCCCCTGAGAAACTGGCTACAGCTGGCCTTTGTCTCCCCTGAGAAACTGGCCACAGCCCACTCCTCCTCCCCAGGCAGATCACGTCATGAGTCAGCCATATTCACTAGTGTCCGTGGCACCCGGGGGGACTCTCGTGAGAAAGTCACCCCCACAGCCAAGGTAAGGAAACTACCTAAATGTCCCTGGATGAATGAATGAATGAATAAAGAATATATGGTATTATACACAATGGAATATTATTCGGCCTTAAAAAGGAAGGAAACTATCATATGTGTCAACATGGATGAACCGAGAGAACATTGTGCTAAGTGAAATAAGTCAGATAGAGAAAGAAAAATACTGGATGGTATTGTTTATATATGGAATCTAAAATAAATAAATAAGTAAATAAAATAAAGCAAAAACGTTGAACTCTCGAGTGGCTGCCAGGGGCCAGGAGGTAGGAAGAAAAGAATAGATTAGTAAAACAATACAAACTTTTAGTTATAAAATGAATAAGGCCTGAGATCTAATGTATAACAAGGTGACTGTATTTGATAACATTGTATCACATAATTGAAATTTGCTGAGAGTATAACTTACATATTCTCACGCAGAAAAAAAGGTGAATATGTGAGGTAGTAGATATGTTAGCTAAATGGCAGAGAATCCTTTCACAATGATATATATATTAAATCACCAGAGAATTTACATATTTCACACTCAATAAGGCGAGAAATAAATACAAAATCCCACCCCCCATTTTCTACTCTTTTATTCTGGTTCAAACTTATCCTTGGCAGTTATACCATACCTCATTTATTTATTTGTATATTAATTGTCTGAGTATCCCCAGTAAAAGTAGGCTTTGGGAATGTAGCAGTGTACGCTTATTTTGTTCACTGTTTTATCTCTAGTGCTTAAGACAGTGCCAAAACAAACATTTGTTGAGTCAATGATTACATGAGAGAGTGTGTGAGTGAATAAATGAACTTTCTACATAGACGCATCTCCTGACTGAAAGATTTTTGGCCATACCCTAGCAGGAAAACACAGCACTTTTTAAAAGTAACTTTTTAAGTCAATGAATAAAAATTAAATTACCAGAGATATCAACATTACATTATTAATTCTGATTTGATTGTAGACCTAACATACCCAGATATGTATTAAATACTAGCTTGAATACACTTCATAATAAATACAGAATAAATTTAGTATATGGAATTTAGTATGTATAGCAGCTCTTTCTTACAAAAAAAATATACTTAACTGGTTTTAAAATGCTAAACTTCCAAATTACAAAATCCTTATGAATAGCATGCCCACAATTTGAGGATAGTATATCACCACCTTTTCTTGTTGATACTATCAACTTATTTGTCTATGACTACTTTACAAGTTGTAAATAATATAAATAAATAGCTAATGTCCAAATACAGGCAACATATTGGCAAATTCAGTGAAGTTACTTTAATTTGTTAAATAGTTTGCAATCAGGATTCCAGTCAACAGATTAAAGCAAGGTCCTTGTTGGTCACTCTCTAGTTTCCGTAGAAATAAACATACACAGTATTCAATCTTATACTGAGACAAGCCATCATTTCTAAATCGGAATCAGAGATATTCATGATAATTATAATTCTACCCATTTTTGTGCTATTCCTTTAAAAATCTGCCTAGAGGCCAGTCTGAGATCTACCATTTCTTAATAAGGTGATCTCACAGTTATTTAACTTCATCCTAAACCTTAGTGATTAATAATTGCCACACAAAATTTTGGTTAAAATTAAATGAAATAATTCATGCAAACCCCTTAATACATTTTTGACACATATTAAGTTGACAAAAAGGGTGTCCATTGTTAACCTATTCCTCATAATCATTCTTATACTGTTAAAGAATTAAGCAGGTATAATTAGAGTCAAAAGTTTAAGCAAAGCTACTGAGATTTAAAAAATTAAAAAGTAGGCAGATATATAAAAGTGACTTGTATCAAGTGTGAAAAATATTAAGCTATACAATTATAGCACTGAATAATTAATTCATGTATTTAACAGTTTAAAATTGCCATAATCATGCAGGGACTAGTTAGATAAATCATATCATGTTATTATTCCTGACACTGTAATATACAATTTGACTTATAAGTATTATTTTACATTTTAGTGTTATTCTTAATGTTTTGGGAAGAGCCAGGGTCATAATGTGTATTATAGCCTAGCCATTAAGAGCCCGAGTTTTGGCCCTGGCTGGCGTGGCTCAGTGGATTGAGTGCAGGCCTGTGAACCAAAGTGTTGCCGGTTTGATTCCCAGTCAGGGCACGTGCCTGGGTTATGAGCCAGGTCCCCAGTAGTGGGTACACAAGAGGCAACCACACATTCTTGTTTCTTTCCCTCTCTTTCTCCCTCCCTTCCTCCCAAAATAAATAAATAAAGTCTTTTTTAAAAAAGAGCCTGAGCTTTGGATTGAGGTAGTTTTCATTTGCTGTGCCACTCACCAGGTCTGCTTTCACACCCGTTAGCTGGGGAATATACTAATGCATACCTCATAGGGTTTTCATCCTGAACAATTACACACAGACTGCTTTGTGACTTTGAACACATACATAAACTATCTGTGCTCCAACTGTCTTGCTTGTACAATGGGTTACAATAATAGGAGTGATTCCAATCAATTGAGGATGCAATGAATTAACGTACCTATACACAGAACACAAAAAAGTGAGTGGAACATAAATATCATTCAGTGATGGGAGAACTAGTAGTAATAGTGGAATATATCTATTTCACTAAAATTACTAATATTCTATCATACTTTAAAAAAGATAGTTCTTGTTTTAGATAAAGCCACATTGAAAATGAAATGTTTCCTTTCACTTTCTTCTGAGGTCAGATTATGAATAGCATAACTAAGAAAAATGAGGAATACTGATGAATTAAATTTTCAGTATAATACAACTGAAGCAAGTTTAAGATCAAGTAGTAAAAAGATTTAAAATTATAACTAGGAAAGAATATTAGACAATAAAAATAAGGAAAATGTGGTTTCAATTAATGAGAGCACAATAATAAAAATTATAATTTATACTTATTAAACAAAGAAAATCAGCCTACCTTTGGCAGGATTTGCATCATATCCACATGTTTTGTTAAAAATATGATGATCACCAGAAGAAGGTATTATTCTCGAATCGGATACAGGATGGATCCCTTTAACGCGTTCAGTTATTGCTTTGTGTTGCTCATAAAATCCACGTTTCCTCGGGGAGGAGCTGGTCACCAACATTGTATCACCATTCTGTAAGACCACAGGCTCTTCTCCTTGAGTATCTGCTGATAGGTGTGTCTCTGAGTCACTCCCATTGGTAACAGGGAGTTCAGTGACTTGCAATAACACTTCCTTCTGATTAGCAGCAGAGGTTTCTGGTAAGGAATTAGATTCAGTGCTACACCGACCTACTAACCTATACTTCCCAGGAGACATAATTGCACAGGAAACAGTTCCCATAGGGTCTATTGTTGCCTTTGCAACAGCAGCAGGACTAGGAGAGACCTGAGAGGTAGAATCATTGTGGCCAAAGTTGTCGCAGTGGGATGCCATGCTTCCACTTTTAGAAAATGCGTCTGCTTCAGACACAGAATCTTCAGTCAAGGCTAAAAACTCTGAAGGTGTCTGAGCTGTGGTAAGATCAGCAGAAAGCAAGGGAGATTGTAAAGAGCTTCCTGCCCGTTCTGTTACATCCACAGAACAAGATGGAGAAGCTCTTACTAATTCAGGTTCTCTCTCTCGGTACTGTGTACTTTCCAATGAGAATTCCGATTGTTGATCCAATGAAATGGACTGGCTCTGTGGAACTGGTTTAGAAAATTTATAGTGAGATGAAAAAGATTTAGTAAGCAGCTTTTTTGTTGACTGCTTAACAGAACGACGAGTTTGTTCTTCTGTGAATCCAGAATCATCCCCCTCACTTTTACCAGAACTTAGGCAATTTATAAAGACATTTTTATTAGTTGAGTGTTCCTTTTCCCTTTCAAAATCCTCTGTCAAAGATCTTGTTATCTTCTTATTTCGTGAACTACTAAAACCAACAGAATGTCTTCCTCTCACTTTAATATGTTCTTCCAAACTCAGTTTTTGCATATTGCTGTGACCAGGTTGAGCACCATTTGAAATATTAAGGTTCTGGTTGGTAGGTTCTTGCTTAGGTTCACTCCCTTTCTTATGGTGGAAGCTAATGGAAGGAGTGCGGAATATGCTCCTGCGTTTACCTGTACTACCTGAGCTTGAGTTAGTGCTGGAAGGAGAGGAACTGTGGACACCAGCTGTGTTACTGGAAGAGGGTGAAGAAGGAAGAGAATCATGTCGTCTGCTAATACTTCTTCTGAATATTGGCAACCGGGAGACCAGGGTAGATCGTCTTGATCCAGAGTCCCCCATTGGGACCCCAAAGCTTGCACTGTGATAGCCAACTTAGCAGCCTAGGAAAAGTTAAGACAAAAAAGAACAAGTCAATAGAATTCAATTGTAAATAAGTCATTTTAAAATAAATCATTGTTCTTCAACACATAGAATACAATTAGGTTTACATTAAAATAATAAATAATAAAATCATAATACTTAAGGATTTCTTAAAAATTTACAAATAGCAAAATTATCCACTATTTTGCATAGTAATGTGACAAGGGTGGAAAAATTTCAAGATTACCCGTAATATTTAAAGTCTATGCAAAAAAGGGGGAGGTTGGGAGACAAAATATCGTTATCCAAGACCTAGTCTTACCATTCATACTGGTTCTATAATTTGGCACATTGTATAATCTTAACTGTTTATGTCTATTTGTTTAGCTGTAATAGACACGTGATGTCCATGGGTGTTGCCCTCTGGGTAAATGCCCCACCACTGCCTGTGATAGACTACGGACTCAACAAGTGATCCACCTTAACGGAATCACACAGCAACCAAAGGTGTGACCTGACACTAGAAGCTCCCCTCATGGAATAAACTAGGATGTATTCTTCCCTTTGGAGTTCTACCCGGCCTTTGGAGATGGTAAGGCCAATGTCAGAGGCAACTAAACCACAAAGGATATAGTTTAGAGTTATAAGCAAGACAAAGTTATGAGGAAACCACAACTATGAGTTGAAGGCCTAACTGAAAGCTAATTCAACTGGTAATGTTGAGACAAATAAGAATACAGACTGAGAGGAACAGAAGCATAGAAAATTTCTGAACCACATTAATACCAGAGAATGAAGAAGGAAGAGGAGAGCAGAGTTCATCAACTCTCATCTACTAAGTACTTTTACATAGCTTATCTCTTTTAATGCTTCTGACTGTAGAAGCAGATAGTATCACCATGGACATTTTACAGCAGAAAGGTAACTTGCCTAATGTCACTCAGCTAATCAGTGGTAAGGCAGGAACAAGATACTAAGCCTTATCTAACCACAGGGTCAGCTCATGACAGCCCGGTACATGCAGCGTTCACAGCAGTGAAGAGCCCAGACCTTGTGCTGCTCAAGGCCCAGATATGCTTCCATTCCCCTGAATCTGTATGGGCAATCTTGCTATTCTGGTGACTTCCACTTTTCACTGGTTTTCATAATATGTCATGATTTGGCTCCTGTTTTGTTTTGCTTTGTTTTTAAATTGTACTTAATGCCTTAACTAGTATAATGCACACTCCCTCCTTGTCAACTTGACTGAGGCTCTGTTTCATGTTGTTGCTTTTTTCCCTTAATTTTGTTGTATCCCGAGGATATTTTTTCATTGCTTTTAGCAACAGAGGAAGGCCCAGGGAGCATAGATTGTTTGCTTTCTGTATTTACCCAGAATGGGAATCACATGCACCCAGACCAGGGATCGAACCCACAACCCAGGCATGTGCCCTGACTGGGAATCCAACCCACAACCTTTCAGCTACGGGACAACACCCCAACCAACTGAGCCACACCAGAAAAGTCTGTTTTACTTTGTTGTTTTTGCAATTGAAACCAAACAATAGCAAATACAACATAAAATGATAAGCCATCCATTTTATCATCCTTACTGATATATTTTTAATTTGAGCAAGTAAAATACTTCTATGTCCTTAAAGAAGTATGTGATGAAAATGGAAAATATTTGTTCTTTCAGATATGCATATATATATATATATATTTACTATTTTGTTCCAAATGATATAAGATCTCTTTTGCATTATATGGTTTTTAGATTGATTTTTGAATTGCAATCACTGAATTTGAATTTAAATCAAACTATCTATGAGCCACTCCCAATATATTTGAGCATTTTTCTAAAGCTTTGGTTGAAGAAAACTTAAAATATAAAAAAGACATTTTAGCTCTTGACATCTTGCAGAAATTAAAAATATTTTATTTTCTTCCCAGCTTAAGTTTCCAAAGTAGATACAGAATACAAATTTTTCATGCTCTCACTCATAACAATGCTTTAATGAACATCCTTCTCAGCTGTGATTTTTCATTTATATGTAAGATTTGTTTCCATCCAATGTCCAGTGAAGATTTTGTTCTAATTACAGCATTATCAACCTTAATGATATGCAGCTGTGGTGAACCTATGACCTTCAATGCATTCATGTCAAGATATTTATCATTTTTATTGAAACACTTTCAGAATATATGAATACTGAAATATTTCTGGGCCTCTTTTTATTATTTTTTGCATTTGTATCAGCATTTATAAACAAAAGAGTGACTCAAGTTCCATATAGTTACAGCAAGTATTCAAAGAATTTAATTAAAAATTCATTAAAAATATTATAATAATCACTCCTCTTCCCAAGTACTTAATGAAAATGACCAGGCTTCTACTGGGTACAAATAATCCATTTAGGCTACTAATATATTTTTCATAATTTAAGTAGTACATCACAGAGATACTAAGAAATATTTACACATTGAATTTATGACAAGGAGTTAATATAAAATACATTAGAGACACAAACCCTTTAGATGTCACTTTGTTTACTGATAATTTTTAAATGAAGTTCTTTATTTCCTACTGAGAACTTTCCACCTAAACAAGACACAAATAAAAATATCTATAATTTGTAATTATCCATATTTTCTTAGGTACACTCTTTAAGGCCCATATACTATCTACTTAATACATGTCCAGATTCACTCTTCCTCTTCTTACATTTCATTCTCTAATCACACTGATTATACTTTCCATTTTCTGTCCACTTTCACCTGCTGGGCATCTGCAGATGGGTCCCCTGCCTGGGATGCCTTTCCTGGAATTCCGGTGTCATACTCCTGTTTCCATCACATCATCCCTTCCAGGGTGCCATGCCTGTCCCGCCCTTCCCACCCTCCTCCGTTTTAGTTGGAATACTCCTTTATGAACCCTCAAGTATTATTTTATATAGTAAACACCTGCTTATTTATCTGACTTTACTATGTTTCTTTTTTTAAGATTTTATTTACTTATTTTTAGAGAGAGAGAAGGGAAGGAGAAATAGAGGGAGAGAAACATCAAGGTGTGGTTGTCTCTTGTGCATCCCCAACTGGGGACCTGGCCCACAACCCAGGCTGGAAGTCAAACTGTTCACCCCTTGGTTCACAGGCCTGCACTCAATCCACTAAGCTACATCAGCCATGGCTGACTTCACTATTTTTCCATAAGTTCCTTAGTAGTAAAGCCCACCTCTGCTTTGCATTAAGTTCCCAATGCCTAATATAATGCAAAATTGATACCCACAGAATAAGTGATGTCCAAACATGGAATTCAACTTGAACACATCATGTTTCAAACATAAACAATCATGTTTTCTGTCTCATTACCATAAATAAATGCTAGAATTCAAGGTTAATTGGACTGAACTACAACTTTTAGAGATTCACAAGTTCAAAGCATTTCAAACTATAATATTATTCAGTAATCTAACATCAGCTAAAATATGAAAATACAGTGCTGAATAAGTTTAATAGAACAGTATTTTACCACATCAACTTTAATTATTAATGAAAGACAAAACATTACACCATGTTAATTTTATTTTAATTATAATCAGAACAATTACCTTTAATTCAGATAAAATAAACACATTTTCTCAGTCCTCCTCTACTATTTCTTGGTTCAGAAGTCATGGTCACTTCAAACATAACATGTCCTAAAAATATACGGGTTGGACTAGACCTTCCCATTGCCCAGGGACCTTTACAAAACCATAAACATTATATTCTTTGAAAATGCACATTTATATAAAAACAGGGTCTTCTAATTATATCTTTTCAGCTGTATAAATAAGCAAAAAATACCAACTTGTAGGCAATATCGCTGCACAGATGCATACTGACCCTATGAAGTGGTGTGAAACTCAGTGTGACCTCAACAACAACATCCTTTGTTCTTTAGCACCAGAGCTGACAAAAATTCCCAGACTATTTTCTTCAATAATCTCTTAGTAAACACTCTCACTACCCTTTATACAATGCAACATCCTATGATAGCTCTATCCTGAATAAAATGACAGGGGAACTTGTTTGGCATGGTTAAGGATGCTGTGGATTCCAGTTGAAGTTACATAAATTGTTCATATGTTACCTACTTAAAATTAGAGTAAGCATAAGAAATAAGAAACACTGCAAAAAAAAAAGACTTCCGTGATTCCAAAAGCATAAAACAACCTTGCAGGAATCCAGAGCTATCATCTTGGAAACTTATTACCATACATACAAACAAGGATGTCTTTCTGTGGAGGTGAAGGAAGTAAAACAACCCACCCTTCCCCTTTTCCTTTCCCAGCATTTTTCAAAAATTTCCCTAGAATTTTGACAATCCTCATATTTTTTCAGCATGAGCCAAAAGTGATAGTCACCTTATGTCCACATCTGAGATAGTCCTGAGTATCCTTTGTTTGTCTTTCTTCCAAAACTCATGGTATTTTGTGTGTGTATGTGGGGGGAGGAGTAAAACTAAACAAAAAATACATCTGACACACACTTGCAATTAGCAAAAAATAAAATTGGTTCCAAATCCGAGCTCTGCCATGTATTAGTGGCATAAACTAGAATATAGGTAACAATTATTTTAGAGTGATTTCTTTTAAGGATGAGAAGGTGCAACACAGAGAGAAATTTAACTCTGCCTGGTATAGGGTATGTTTTCAGTTTCTTCCTCTCCTATGAAATACGTTCAAACAAGCGGCGCGTGGTGGCGCAGCACACACACGGAGTACTTACAAAAATGAGCTACTTTCCAAAATGTATTCCAAACCCTATATCTAACAAAACCACCTAAAATGTTAGGGGGAGATACGTAAATTGAGATCAGTATGCTAAAACCTTATGGTGAACCTCCCTAAAGTATACATTTTTACTGGAATTTAAAAACAATGATCAGAATTTGAAATGTCTGTGAGAAATGTTGCGTGAGATAAATCGTATCGATTTCACTCTTTCTCAGAAGATTTCAGAAAATAACACAGCAAAGCCTAAATGACCACACTGA